ATAGAGATTGAGGAAAGAAAGAGATAAATTATTAGAAAGGGAAATCTAAGCGTGGACATCGAGAAAACGATTTCATTAAGACGAATCCTCTCTCCCGGAGGATCGAGGATCGGAGGTGGCAGGTAAATGCCTTAGCTCCTCCGACGGCTGATAAATGGGACATAAACGTTTCTTCCCTGTCGAGCTGGTAGTTTCGTCCCGGTAAGCGTTCTGACGTATAATTCAAGGAAAGCATTCGTCTTGCCAGCCGTCGCTTCGTCCCTTCATTCCTCGATCCTCTTGCTAAAAGAGAAAAAGAAAAAGAAAGAGAAAGAGACAGTTGACTGTGAAAGTTTTTCATTACGAATGTAAGATAAATATCCTTATTTTCAACGACGTTTTAGGTTTCCCGGGGACTTGGTAGAACGAGCGAGCGAGCCTCTTATTGCGTCTTTGCAGTTTACCTTTTCCTCGTAAATACGAGAACTCCAAACTCATCTGTAGAAAAGCTAGAGGAAAACAGGATAAATGAGTGTAAAAGAGAAAAAGAGAATCGCTAAATAGTCATTTGAATTTGTTTCCTTTTTGTTTTGTTCACTTGTTGTACAGCGCGAATTTTTCTTAACGAACGCGCGTATATATGTACACACTTTTCTGCAACACTTATTGCACCCATCGGATTTTCTAAAAGATCTATTCTTCTAAGATTCTATTATTTTTTTCTTTTTGTTTTTGTTTTCATCAAAGAACCTAAATTTGAACTTCGATTTCATAGGATTGCGATATCAAACGTTGTATTATTTTCCATTACGTAACGTGCATTTTGCAATGCTTAAGAGAACTCGAAAATCGCTCGTTCAAACTATAAGGCAACTCCAGCGTTTCGCGGCTTTGCAACTACTAAGTTGAAGCGGAAAAGGTGGAAGGGTGGTAAGAGGTACTATCGAGAGAGGGATAGAAATAGGGGTAAATAAGAGGAGGGGGGTGGGAAGGGGGGAGAGAACGAAGACAAGATAACGCAGCACGGTTTAAACCGTATTACCTAAGCCGATCGCTGAGCAGAATACGCGGTGGCCACCTGCAGCCCGGAACGTTCCTACGTGTATGTACAAGCTGCATTAAGTTGCATCGCATGCAAGCTGCATATAAAATCGACTAACAAGAGCCTCGGGTTAGCACTTGGAAGTGTCGCATAGCGAGTACGATTAAGAGAGAAAGCCTGCGACCCAAGACCTCGTCCCCCCTTAACTCCAACCCATAACCCAACATCCCTTTCTTCTACCCCTCACCCCTCTTTCTAGCTTCCAAGCTCCAACACCTTCCCAATCCACCCTCCGTCGACGTTTCTCTCGAGATCTTGAGTTAAACGTGACTCACCTTCACTTACACCACCACCACCACCACCATTACCACCACCATCATCGCCAACAACGCTTATTTATACGCCTCGAAATTTCTCCTTCGACTTGCTACGCTTCAGTCTACCACGATTATTCCCGTTATCTAAACGCTAATTTTCCAACGACAAGCTCCTTTATAGAATTTACACGCTCGGTGAAAACGATGGTGATAGGCGTAAACCACCTTACTACCCTTCCAGCAAAACCCGTTGATTTCATTCAAAGTTATCGAATTATTAAATTTTCTCTTTAATGTTTTAATTAATTTTTTTTCAATAATATTATTGAAATATTATTTTTTCCATTTTGGTAGGATGTGCAGTATTATTTATAACTCGTTAAATTAGGTTTGATATTCTCCATTTATCAACTACTCTTTGCGAAGCTCAGATTCTAGAAAATCATCCAAGTAGAAATCCATAAATCCTTGCATACTCCAGGACACTCCCATGGAAATTCTTAGACGTTTCCAAGTAGTAGGAAGAAGGAGATTGTAGTGTACCGCGACAAAACCGCCGAATGCAACAACGTTGAGAGAGAGAGAGAGAGAGAGAGAGAGAGAGGGACGTGAAATGAAAGAAGGGAAGGTTGAAGGCCAAAAGGGATAGAAATGAGAGGGTTGGAACAAGAGTTTCGGTCGGCTGCAATAACGTAACGTATCGCGCTAATCCAATTTGCGAGGGCACTACCATTCTGGCCGACAATTTTAGAGAGAGAGAGAGAGAGAACAGGGGTAGACGAGTAAAGCGAAATTGGGGTAAACTGAGGGTGGAAATGTCGCTTATGTACGACCAGGGATGATAAATAATCGTGAAATTTTGCGGTACTTTTTGAATAGTTCATGTCACCGGATAACGTTGCGGCGAATTCAGGATGGATCACGTCAATATTTGATATTCGATGGGCGATTATGATAATTTATGAAAAGTATTGTCGCATAGCGTTTCCGACGGAAATTGTTTACCCTATAACCACCCTCCAGCTCTCTCTCAATAGCAGGCTTGGAAATAGTTCAAACGTGATATTGTTAATCCCTCTCTCTCTTGTTTTTTTCTCAATAAGATAAACGTGATGCACGCATGTGTGATTACATACTTTAACACTTATTTATGTATTAAATAATATTTTAATATAATATTAGGTTGTCCTAGTATCGAAATATCGTCTATTGAATTTGCATCAAAAAACCGGAAGGAACTTATGGGACAACCTAATATATAACACTGATTTCTATCAATATATAAGAATATATGATTTTCTTGGAAAATAATTGTGACTTTTCTCAATTCCAAATAATCTTCTACCCGAGTAAGGCTCGCTTTCCGAAAGTATGAAGTAAAACGACTGGTTAAGAGTATGAGAAGAAGAAAGGCTTTGGACTTTTGCGACAATCCGTTCTAGCTCAATTGCTTGAAATTCTACAAAGCCTGTTTGGGATTCGTTCCGGGAATTATTCAAATAAGGAAACTGTTGAAATGCGGTCAAACAACTGTTAGCATATAAGAGAAGGTGAAGAACGTTCCCTTGTCAGAAACAGTTACAAAGATATCCAAGGAACTTAAACCGAAACGTTTATTTGTTGACGCCAACTATTTTCTCTTCTAAATTGTCGAGTTTATAGAGCTCTTAAGTCTAAGTCACACCGTCAGTTCCTTTAACGTATACGTAAATGCATTTAAGACGATATAACTTTGGTTGAAACAAAAGATATAATAAGAGTTTGTTACGAATTTAATTATTTCTCTTTCTAAAAAGTCTTCTTTTTTTTTTAAATTCCAGTTTCGTAACAAACACTGTGCAAAATTGATTAAAGAGATTTTTAATAATTTCCAAATACTTTAAATTGAATTTTTAACTACGTAACGCATATCATGCAATGATAAATTAAAATCTTTTACTGTATAAAATTTTAATAAAAAATAATAAATCAGTCATAAAAAATCACTCATAAAAAATCACTCATGATCCTATTTGTTTGATCGAATTTGCATAATTCAAGATAGAAATTCGCAATGATTCGCAAATAATATGTTCGGTGCGTGTCATCGAATCTAATCAATCGAGAATAAATAAATAAATAGTATAATTTACGATTCTGATACAAGGAAGCTCATAAATCGCATTTGAGATAGGACGTGTCGTTATGCGAATGAGTTCGGATCTATCTAACAAATATTCTCTGTCCCTTTCAATACCGTGATATTTTATCGTGCGAACGCAATACACGAGCAGCATAATTTATCTGTTTTCAAATATGTCCGCATCAATAAATTTACATATTTTAATATAAATTCCTAAATGTCTGGCTTGCTTGAGTAGAAAGAAAAAGTAATAGAAGAAGAAGTAAAAGAAGAAGAAGTAGAAGAAGAAGAAGAAGAAGAAGAAGAAAAGGAAGGAAAGTTGCATTAGTAAAAGCCATTAACAAAGACGTCTTTATCGATCATCGTTCTTCATAATCCTTTCGCATTTTCTTTGTTTTTTTGCAGTCATTAAAACTAGAAGAACTTTTGGTAACCTAGATATTCAGAATTACTCGGTTAGTATATTTAATTCTATCTAGAATTATAACAAATTTATTGAATTAAACCTTTTACCCATCAGAAGTTTCGTTTTTTAGATAAAATATTCAGCTAAATGAAAAATATTAACTTAATAGATTTAGTAATATATATATCATAGCAATGTGGGTTTGAAAAACAATTTTGTTTGAAATAATATTCGCAAATCTTATAGATATAATGCACAATTTTATTAATTTAATTTTAATTTTGTATAAGATTATTTTAAATAATTTCATATTAAACGAGTAAACATATTATACAAAATTATTTAGAGATCCGATCTCATATTAACACCTACGCAGCTTACCCTTTATATTAAAATTTATTCAACGCTTGATATAACTCTCTTTATATAGTTAAATGTTATCAGCATCTCAGTTTACAGTGAACTTTATACGATAAGAGAAGCTTATGGCTCTATATATATACACTATGGTCGAAAACTTCTCAATATGCTTTTACTAAGACACGTATAAGTCCATTATCGTACGAATTTCGAATACTACTGAAAGTATGAAATATTTGTCTATGTAATTCTATACAAACGTGATTTTAAAGCTTTTAATATGTTAATTAATTTTTTTCTATATAGATAAAATCTCATTAAATTAATAAAGGTATAATAAATCATTGAATGAATAAAATCATTTTTAACAAAATTTATTTCCATATTGAAACATTAATTATAATGAAAGTTATAACAGTAATTTTGGGTAATATTATTATTCTCATGGTTGAAATGAAATAAAGATTAACGAACCTTCATTATAAACATATCAAATATTCTCTTGGAATATTAGCTTGTTTTATTTTCGATGGAGGTCCCTACCGATCAGGAAACTAATATTACGTTGGGTTACTGCATCGGTGACAACAGATATCGCAACGATGCTACTTAACGCGAATATCAAACAATAACCATACGACCAGAATTTTGAGAGTAAATTAAACATAGATGCACAATCTGGTAACGAAATTTACACACGGTTGTAACGGAGAAAAACAAACCCACATGTGTAAGCGAAAAAAATAAAAAAAATCCAATAAATTTTGATTGTTTTAATAAACATTTTATTAATATATATAATTAATATTGTTATGACGAATCAAATTGAAACAAATTATATGTGCTGATCGTTTAAGAAATCACAACGAATATATTTAAATAATACACATAGTGTTGATAATTTTTAAGTATAAATTTCATTTATCTTTATATCTATAACAACTTAAAAATTTTTACGATAAATATATTATCTGTTAGCATAATTTCCCATTCTGTTAGAAAATTTATTACGGAATTTCTCCTCTGATTTGTATTTTTATCTCTGAAATCTGTAATCAAACAAGACGATAAAAGTGAAGCAACTGTTACAATAAATAATAAAATCGTTAAAAAATAATGATCACAAACCTGAACCTCGGGTCGTGTTCCAAGTGCATAAATTAAAGCATCGGCTATGTCTTCGGGTAAAAGCATTGGCCTCGAAAACAGGAAGTCTTTAACATTCGTATTGTTTCCGCAAATTTCGGTCTTTACGTAACCTGGACAGATACTCTGCGAAAATAAAAATTATGAAATACGTAACAGTGTAGCTACGTAGATAAATAAATTAAATAAGAAAAAGAAAAACTATAGCTAATCCAACTCACTGTTATTCGAATGGGTACTTCGACATCATGCAGTTCGTGTTTCACTGTCTCCGTTAATGCAACCGATGCATGTTTAGTTGCAGGATACAAATTCCACCCGTTACAACCTTCAACATCGATAGGACCTCCAAACGGTATTAGGTGTCCTAATATACTGCAATGCATATTTTTACTTACAATTAGCCATCAGATTTAGAAAGAAAAATAAAGTATTGCATCCTAAATGTAAATTAATTTCTGTTGTACCTTTTTAAAAGAAAAAATATTGTTCAGAATAATATTTTGAAATAAAAGTCTCAATATAAGTTAGAAATGTTCATTTGGGTTGAACTAGTAGCTCGTTGGTAGATAAACGTAATAGGAATGAATAAACAAAGCATACTGCCTTAGGGTAAGATGTTCATTAACAATACCTGTTGATATTGAAAACATGCCCTTCGACGTTTCTCTTTCGCATTGAACGTACAGCGCGGTTTATGCACACAGCCACTGCGAGTACATTAATATTTAACAGCTTTTCAAATGTCTTCCTGTCGCTTTCTGCAAGTGTAATTTATGGAATTTTTTAAAATGCGCCAACGATGGCTCCACCGAGCTTCCGTGGTAATACTGAAAGCTCGTCCCATACCAATTCCAATGGCACGGTGCATACATGTAAAAGTATAAGAGTTGAAACTCTTTCCCCAACTTTTTAACCCTTTCGGGAGAAGAACCTTATGCGCATATTTTTCTTCTTCTCTCAACTTTCTTTTTTTATCAATTAAAATTTTAATCTCCATGTATATAAAGAAAAAACTCGATAAATTTATATTAAGATAGTCCTTATTTTTCGTTTTACAATTTAAACTATGCGACACGCGATCAACTTTAAATATCGATTCAAAATCATCGTTTAATTTGAAAACTTTGTTTTAATATTACAAAATTTCTAAGATCATAGATAGTTCAGTTATTATTTTTTTTTTTGCTAGAATAAATAAGAACCCGAGGATTGCATTTAACAATCCTTGCATTTATAATCTTTTTTTTCAATCTGATGGGTAATAAACTTACCAATAACGCGATGATAATTCACAACACCGGCATTATTCACCATAATATTGACTCCATTTAATTTTTCATCGACAAATGAAAATGCAGCGTCTAGTTCATCCCCGCAAGTAACGTCGCAACGAAGAGGATAATATCTGTTCCTCTTATTCTTTGTATTGTCAGCCGTTTTTGTGTCTTCCTCGTTCTGAATATCCAAACCGACCACGATTATCTTCCTTTCAAGCAGAGCACACGTAATTGCTTTGCCGATTCCGGATGCAGAACCAGTCACGACCGCGACTTTCCCTTCCCAACGATTCATAATTGTTCGTATGTTCGTATTGGTTTAACTGCAACAAATCTATTTTTTCATTTCAATAGAATAATTATTACATTTGTACGAATATAGAGAAAATAAATTTATCGGTAGCATAATCCGCCAACACATTGACATAAATTCAAAACGTATTAATTTATCTAATCATTTTTTTAATTTTCTTTTTTTTTCTTTCTATTGTACAAAATCGGGATGTGTTCGCCAATAATATTTCCAACTCCAGCTTCAGAAAAAAAAAATTACTGAAATACATTAAATTTGTTAATTACGAATTTCAATAAACTATACATTTTCGCGATTAAAATGAGAATTCGCTTGATCGAATATTTATCGGAGAAAAAAAAATGATTGTACGATAAGATAATTAAAAGATTATTATATTTCCATTCGATACAGGTGCGTAGAAACTTGTTTGTCATCTAAGATTTATGAACTCCTCTTAGATTCTCTACATTATAAACATCACGTATACAATCTTGGCGCTTATATGCGGCTACGTTGAGTATATATCGTCCGAAAAACTTGGTCGTCTCTTCGAAGATTTCCCGACGGAACGCGTTGGGAGGACCGTAGTTGCATTCGCGATACGAAACAAAACAAAAAGATAAAAAAAGGAAGAGAAATAACACGTCGCGTACCAACAATAATTTTAAATGAACGCACCGCTGCAGCCCAATTCACGAGAAATGTTATTATGTAACAACAACCGCTATCAAATCGTTCTGTTATATTTTTCAACTTTGATCTTACAAAGAGATTTTAATATACATCAATAAAGTCAAGAAAAATAATCGTATAAATTATAACCATAATATCATTGCACATTCTTATGAAATGATTACTTTGTGACGCCTTTGTCGTAATTTCAACTGATAAAATTTAATAAAGCAACAAATGCAAGAAACAAATACAAAAATTTAAGAACAAAAGTCGATAAAATATCCTAAAGTTCGTAACAATTATAAAAATAATTGTACGATAGAGATTTATATGTACAAATAAAATTTGAGATTTTTTATTCCACAGAAATATTTCGAACAATTCTGTACACGTATGAAAACATACAAAACTATACGGACGAATAATTTAAATCGAATTAAAAATCAAGACCGTAATTTTAGTACATAATCCAATTGTCCACTTATTTAAAATTGTTGGTTTACATCTATAACAAAGTTAGGCAAATTAGAATGGAATAATTATAAAAGAAAATAATACAAATAAAGAGAGAGAAAGAGATAACAAGATAAATAAAGAAAATAAAGATAGGAAGTTGTTGAAACATGTAAGTAATACTAAATAACTGTACAATATAAGAGAATGAAAATATTCGAATATAAAATTCGTAGCAAACAAAAGCCAGAAGTATGTAATAAGAATAATAATGTAAAAGAGACAAAGAAAATGATAGAAAAGGTAGAAAGAGAAGAACAATTGTAACGCATCAAGGAAAATCCACTCAGTTTACATTACTAAATGTATACCCTATGGAATTCACAAGAGTGCAGCGAAAGGGAAAGATACTGAAGGATGATTCGAGAAGAAGATTTACGTGGTATTCAAAATGAATGAAAGATTTATTCAAAGAGATAACAAAACAACAACAACTACCATCTCATACCGCTACGATAAAGAACAAAGATATATCTAGATTTTGAGAACGAATAATCGGCCTGAAAAGACGCACGTGAATCATTTTATTTTTACCCTCTTCTTTCTTTTTCTTTTTTACTCTTTTATTTTTTTTTTTTTTTTCAAAAGCGTTTCGAAAGACGCGTAACTTTAGCTCAACTAAAGTCCTCGCAAAAGTTGAACGAAGAACTTTGGGCTTAAGCTTATCCGTTTATCCACCACTTCCATTCTTCTGACCGCTCAGCTTTTTTCCTAGCTAGTAGAAAAGCGAGCGAACGAGCGAGCGAGCGAGCGACGACGTGACCTGCCACAACCCCCCTTTTCCACCCCATACTCTCCCACCCACCCCCCACATTTCTTTTCTATATCCTGTCCTTCTTCTTCAAAGCAACACACCGCTTGATCCAAAGCAATCTCTTTCGGAAACGTTGTACGGAATATCGGAATATTTTGCAATCCCAACGGACGATTCCGTGAGATCCCTATCGTTTTTCAAAAGAAAGAATCTTATCGTCCGGCTAAAATATTCTTCATCCTGAAGAATAAGAATAATACTTGGCATTCCTTTTCGAATCTTTTGCCTAGACACAATAATACAATAATAAATGGAGTCTTCAAGAAAATCTTACGAATTATATATACATTAAAAGTGTGTGTGTCGCTTTAAAAATCTTATACCGTTAACACTTGATAAATTTTTCCTTGAAAATTATTGACGACATTAAATGATTGATAATTAATCCAAAGAAATGTTGATTATAATCGAAGAACACCGAGGATAAGTCTAACGTACCGTCCTATTTGAAATTCACTGCTAAACTGACTCATTGTTCTCTATGATAATCGATCAAAGTTTTTTTATTGATTCTTATTTATATACATATACTTGTATTTAAGGTTGTTTTAACGCATATACATTTTTTTAAACATTACATACATTTATTTAAACATTACATACATTTTGACGTATTTTAAATATTAAATTATTTCAATTTTATGTTTTATTTGATAAAAATTTTACACCTTCCCTCCGAAGTCATTACTGCGCAGGAGCAGTAGAATAATTACATAAAAATCACAAGAATATTAAAATCAGATCGTTATAATCTTAAATTCTATTGATTAAATAGATTATTTCCCTTATACACATGCGCAACGTTCGGAAGGGCATATAAATAATATTTGATAAAAGAAATTTTATAGAGGACAATAAATCACTTCAACAGTGGATTTCGAAGGGAACGGTACATAGATCATAGATTTCCAACTTTTAAACAACAATAGACACTTGCATCGATTAATTAACAATTATTTTTATATTTTAATACACTCTCTTTATATTTCAGATTATTTAGACACATATATGTACTAGTATAAGCATTACATTCTTATTAACATATAAATATTAAATAATTTCGATGTTATTAATATTTTTGAATAGCTTAAACTAATTTTTTTTAATGTTCCTGGCCAGTGGTAAATTTGAGTTGGACATTGCATTAACCCATTGAAATATTGTTGCTAAGAAATAATCTCTCACCTGATATAATTTTTTTGATTTAGGTATAATACTGCTATGCAGAATAATAATAAATCACAGTAATTGATAGTTAACTGATTAAGATCAATGATCTGATTCCAACACTTGTTATTGGACAATGCACAACGACAATATCTAACCCACTTCAAACTATATAAGCGTCTAACTCATATCAACTGTCATAGAGAAAAGAAAACGTAGAACGATTGCGACGATCATTATTATCTGTTTCTCCTTCTCCTATGATCATTCGTAAATACAACGATTACGGTCATGTGAATTATCTATTCAATGAGAGAACTGATGTAATATTCTTATCCTGTTTTTCTTGAAAGTTTTGCATAATTTAAGATAATTAACAGACAACACATTTTATTGTCGTAACCGAGATAAACAAATATTAAGAATGTATTTTATTATGTTAATTTTTTGAAAAATAGTTTTACTTGTTTCCAGGTACTCTAATTATCTAGATTTTTATGGAAATCACAATGAAATTAATATATAAATAATAATATAATATATAATAAAAAATATAATATGAATAATATATATTAGTAATATAATTTGATATTTTCTTCCTCGACATTTTCTTAATTTATATAAAATATATTGTGTTGTCTCTGCAGCGTTAGTTACGATATTTTTAAAATAGAGAAAAAAAAAGGAAGAGAAAAGCAGAGAGATAGAGTTACAATAGATAATCATTTTTCGTAACCTGACATAATCTGTACGTAGCACAAAGCCGTATATCGTTAAAACAGGAGATAAACAGGATAAATGAGTTTCAAGGAAACTCTGATCTTTCTCACTACACTTTTTATTGCTCACTAATATACTTCAAAGATATTATTTAAATTTTTCGTTAGAGGGAAAACGAGATAATATTGATTAAAACAATGTTTTCCTTGCGTCTGTTTTCGACAGAGATTGGTGCGATAAAGAAATAATATTTTTGTTGTTTTGCGAAACATTAGTTGTAATATTTAAAAAATAAAAAAAAACGCATTAAACTTAATTACAGCTCGTGTAATCGTAAACACGTGCTTCGTTATCTGCACACACACAGAGTAAATTTATCTTTAATATTAAATACATCTAAGAAGAAAAATTTCAATACTAATAACGGTTATAAAAAGAAGAGATAATAAAAAAAAAAGAAAAAAAAAGAAATGATAAAATCTGGAATCGGATATTCGTTTGGTCTCCTAGAGGGAGTTTCGAATCTTTTTCTTTCTTAGCAGATAAACGATACAAGAAGACACTGAGACGCAATAATAAGTGCTCGCATCGATCTTCTTGAAGGCGGCAGCTGGTGTCCGGGTCCGGTACTGGGCCGAGGACATTATTCTCGTTCGCACGGTACGACGTGGAAATCAACAAGAAAAGCGAGCAGGAAAGCTTTAACAGTTTCCCCCGGTTTGAACCAGCAGCACCAGATGCTATTCCTTTTACTCGCTACTATTTCTTAACGACCCTGTGATTACTTGCATCGGTTTGTTTCGTTGTGTCAAGCCGATATCATCTTGCACGTTTTCATTCCTTTTTATTATTATTATCATTATTTGTTTCGATCGTCTAGAATCTATTGTGTCTATCTTCTTCTACCTTGTTACTGATCGATAATAATTTGTTATATTCTAGATGGTTGTTTTATTTTTCTTTTCTTTTCTTTTTTAAAAAAGAAACCTGCTCATTTTATTTGAACACATTTCTCGCGTCAAATCTTTCTTTTATTTCATACGCTTCGATCGTAGTCAACAAACGACAGTTTTCATTTTACCGCGATGGTTTCCTATAAAATATCTACCAGACGTTTAATGATTGCCTCAGGGTTCTCCCCAATACCAAAGACTCGAGGGATGGATACCACAAATTAGCCACATTTTACGAGAAACTTTTAAAAATGAAAAATACTTTATACGCGTTTCACTCAATGCTATAGAAATGTGTGTGAAAATTGTATCTATCTTATCATCGTAATAAAATATATTCATATGTGCAGCTAATTAGATTCGTGGAAAAAAAAGTATGTGAAAACATTCAGAACGTTTGTATACTTGGGGAAACTGAATTAATTTGATTATATTTTTAAGATAAAAGAAATTTCTATTAAGGAAAAAGGTATCGGAAAACTTACCGAGCTAATTTTATTCGGATTTTCTTAAAAATAAAACCTTTTACAAACCATTTAACAATTCAACAAAAATACATTGTCCACGAGTAAAATAGTACAACGAAGATGTGTTTTAAACGATAGAAGAAATTGTTATCAAAATGGTTTAATAAAGGATTGACAATCGTTTCTCTGAAAAAAAAAGCTTGTCCAAGAGATAGCCTGCCGACGATGACTATGATAACAAGATCTTCCTTATTCTCTTTCTCCCTTACTCTATTTTCTTCCCTTCTTTTTCTATCTCTTACCATCTATCTCTCTCATGAGCTTTCGCAGGGCTGCCAGCGTCTCTACTTTCCATTCTTCCCTTGTTGTTCCATTCTCCGGAAGATCAGCGGCAAGCTTATTGCCTCATGAATATTTATAAGGGAGATCGTTCTCAGGGCCGGAACAAGTAGAGACGCTTGCCCCGAACCCCTTCGTTCGTTCGTTCGTTCATTCGTTCGTTCATTCGTTGAACGTGCCAATGTTAGGTGGAAACGGGAAAGGAGAAACGGGGGAATGAGAAGAAAGGGGAGTGGAAGGACCGAGAAGGTATAGAAACGGCCACGAACGAGACACCTAGAAATTAGCGAGTCAACGAACGACTCGAATTATACGTCGGGATAAACATTGAACATAGGAAAACAAGTAAATAAGACAAGATTCTTTATAAAACTGCATCTGACTTTTTTTCTTTTTTCTTTTTTTCTTTGCAAGGGGTATATACTTCGGCAAGTATTGGTCTCGTTTCTTTTTATTTTTACACACTAACACACTCTTGTTCTCTCCCTCTCTGTGTCTCTTATTTCATTTTATTTTAAATCTTTTTAAGTTGGAAAGAAAAAAAAGATAGAGAATGTTTAGGGTGTTAAGAAAAGACGATATTATTTTACAGACCATTTACTTCGCACGTGTACGCGATAGCCTTAGGGTGTAAAGGTACCAACAACCCCTCTGTCTTTTACCTCAAATGTATCCCCTCCCCCTTTTCTCCTCCCTAGTTCTCGCTCCTCTACAAAATTCTCCTTCGTCTTCTCCACCTCCTTCTTACGCGATAGCAAAGCAACGTTTAACCTCAGGCGACGGAGGTATACTTAAGAGTCCACTGGATTTACGAGAATCATCCCTATAGTTCGCAAAACTCAACCAGTAGCTAGCTAGCTAGCTAGCTTTCTAGCGTGCACGTGATAACATACGAGCGTGATAACGCGTACAAACGGTGCCCGAGAAAATTGCTCGGCCTCGGAGAACTGCTTTTATACTTCTCGTTTTCTCAAACCGAAACGTCTAAACGTAAATTTAAAATACGCGCGAGTTTTTGAACGCTGTTACGTTATAATAAAATAAAATTCGAATCTTCTCATCGTATCATATACCGATTTGTTCCTTTTATTCTTATTAATGTTAAAAAATAAATTTGAAAAAGAAAAATGTAAGAAAATATTTGAAAATATTCGACTCGAAATATCCAAGATTAAACTTAGTTTTTTTTTCTTTTTTTCTGTTACGCCGAATAGAAGAGATAGCGGTAGGAAAATTTTGTGAAAAATTTCTCATATGACTATTCGTAACGTTAGGATAAATTGAATAAAGTTTCGTAGGAAACTCGCGCATGTGTATTATTTATACACACGTATAGATGTAGTATTAGATAGGAACGCGTATGTCGACTTAGAATTCGAATTTCTCGCATCGACCGGTCTGTAGTATTAACGACTGCCAGTTCAAAGAGACCGTATGGGAAAATATTTGCATGGCAAACATCGTGTTTGTCGGTAACAACGCTCGCTTCTATCTTCCTTCTCCTCTTTCTCAACATTCTTCCCTTTCTCGTTCGTTCATCGTCTCACCCTTTTCCATCTTCCATTTCTCTTCTTTTTTTTTTCTCCCTCTCTCTCACTTTATCTATCTTTCACCCTCACTGAAAACATTCACGACGTGAATACCAAAAAGTTTGGCACTTTCCAAACTGAATTCGAAATTCACACGCCGATAAAATCGAGATATATCGAGATAGATATATGTACGTCCGTTTCTAATTTCCACTTTTCATTAATAGTATTTGTTATATTCCGAGAGATACGAATTTATCTGCGAGAGGAGTAAGAATTTTTATTATTAAAACAAATGAAAAAAAGAAAAGAAAGTGTAATTTAATAGCTTGAGTGTGTTTTCTTTTCTTATTACTCTTTAGGACATTCAATTAATCGACAAGCTTCAGTTGAGAAACGAATTCCGTAGAAATTTACTCGACAATGTCAATGGCAAACGGCGATTCGTCGTCGTCGAGTACTTTGCTGTCACCTCTTTGAAGCCCGGAGGACACTCCAAACTTCGAGGAAGTGGAGTTTAAGGAAGAAGAGATTGTTACTAGGTGCCTGAAAGCGTTAAAGGACTCAAAAAGATACGTCTAACGCGCTATCGTATTTGTCGACAATGTTCCAGGTGTTTCTTAACATTTTAAACATGAAATGACACATAGTCATAGCTAATGACCATTGCAATTATAGTCTACTTCAAAAGATTTTTATTAGTACAAATATATATATATATCTCATAATAATATACACTTGTCGTTGAATAAAAATTCAATTAAATGTGATAATTAAAAGTTGCCATAGTCCACAGTCTTAACGATATTAACGAATAAGATTTTTCCCGCGTACTTAAAATACAATGGTACGATTTTCCAGAAGCGACGACGATTGCATGCATTTTCAATCAACGACTTCCCTTCTGGCACACCGCACAATACGATGTCATTCATTCGAGAGACAATATATCTCGGAAAATCTCCATTGGTAAAACGTACAATACTCACATTCAAAAGCCACTACAACAGTCCTTCTCTCTCTCACACTCTCTCTCTCTCTCTTTTTCTCCTCCTACTCTTTCCCTCTCTGATTCTTTTTCTATTTCTACCAATATTACGATATACGAAATAGTAAACGTATCCGTTTCTAGTTCATCGATCCTCTTTCCTCCTCCTCTTTCCTCCTCCTCTTTCCTCCTCCTCTTTCCTCTTTCCGTTTTCGCGATCATAAACGAGCTACCTCGGCAGGTCCACAAAT